GGCGCTGCCCCCCGTCGCCGCCGTCCTGCTCATCCACATGCCGGCCGAGGTACGAGCCCGCGACCGGGAGGGCAGGGAGACCCAGTGGCCGGAGAGCTGGGACCAGCGGGAGGGTGTGGGTCGCTTTGGGGTGGTGCTGGCAGGCAGGGTGCTCAGCTCATGGCACCCATTTATCCCAAAGCTGGGGTGCAGGGAGGTGCCTTTCGCCCCAGGTGTGCTTGCCTCCTCCTGCCTGCTCCCTTGGTCCCTGGGAGCAGGGTGGGGGCTGCAGGGATGTCCCCTGGAGACACCTGGGTGCTCACCCGCTGTCCCTTGGCTTGCAGCAAGCGTTCTGGTGCCTGGTGCAGATCTGCGAGAAGTACCTCCCCGGCTACTACAGCGAGAAGCTGGTGAGTGAAGGGCCCGCGGTGCCTTCAGCGGTGGCAGGGACCTGTGGTGTCTCCAGGCCAAAAGCTCCCCCAGCTCCTCACCCTGCAGAAAGAAGGGAGCCTGGGGAGATCCTGGGTGCTCCCACGGTCTCCGTGTTGTGCCACGGCTCCCAGAAGCATCCTGCAGTCAGGGATGGGGGGGCTCAGCGTAGCTTTGCTACCGGCGTCCGTGGGGCAGAGCTCTGATCCCGTAGCCGGGTCTGGAGGATGGGCTGCTCCTCCTCTGGGGCCGGTGGGCTGGGGCCGGGCACCAGGGAGCTGATCCCAGGGCTGGGCCGGGGTTGAGGCACTCACTGGGGCTCTTGACGCTGTCCCTGCAGGAGGCCATTCAGCTGGATGGGCAGATTCTCTTCTCGCTGCTGCACAAGGTCTCACCTGTGGCCTACAAGCACCTGAGCAAGCAGAAGATCGACCCCATCCTCTACATGACGGAGTGGTTCATGTGCGCCTTCTCCCGCACGCTGCCCTGGAGCTCTGTCCTGCGCGTCTGGGACATGTTCTTCTGTGAAGGTAGAAGCTCCCCACCATCCTCCTCTTCCTCCTGGGGTGACCGGCTGCAGCCCCCGCGGCACATGGACGGCACTTGGGGCTGCAGCAGGAGCGCTGCCGCGGCTGCTTGCCTGTGCCTGGCCCGTTGTAGGGCAGGTTTGGGGCAGCCACGTGCCTGGGGTGGAGACTGGGCTGTTTTCCTGGGGGTTAGGGGGCATGTGCATTCCAAATCCACTCTCTTGCGTGTCCTGACTGCTAGTGGGACTGGGACCTGGTGCCTCACAACATCTGAGGGACATGGTGGCAGCGTCACCCTGTGCTGCCTGGCGCTCGCTGCCTCACCTCTCCCCTTGCAGGGACTTCCGGGTGGTCCTCGTGCTGCTCAAACACACCCTGGGCTCCTCGGACAAGCTCAAGTCCTGCCAGGGCCAGTATGAGACCATGGAGAGGCTGAGGGCCCTCAGCCCCAAGATCATGCAGGAGACCTTCCTGGTGCAGGAGGTGAGGTGCTGGGGAGGGTCTGAGGGCCCAGTGCTGCCCAGTTGGCCACGCTGCTGGACTGGACTGCCTCTGGGTGGGCAGAGCTGGCGTAGCTTGGGGGCAGTCCCCAAAAGGCTTGGATTTGGGGTTGCCTCTGCCCTGGCCTGGGGTGCCGAGCCAGCCCCGGGTGGCCCTGTCA